CTCCTGCCTCTTCCCTTCGTTGTTGTAGCGGAACTTCTGAGTCCTTTATAAACCTGCTAGTCCATCAACAGTTGTTGTTGTAGCGGCGCTACAAAGCCCCGCCTAAATCAGTTAAGTCGTACATCGTTGTCGCCAACCTCAACAAACTGTAGGCTCAGGAAATGTGTTTCGACGGGGCTGCACCATACGAAGAGGGGTGTTAACTGAGTGGATTTAAGTTAGCTGGCGAAGAGGTGGTTGGTATCTTGGGGGAACCTTCACACGCATTTGGTATACCAGGGACGGGTATGAATAAGTACGAGTTTAGACGGCTGCAATATTCAAGGCTTGCGGCAGAGAAACGCAGGTCTCTCGTGGCAGCTGAAACTCTTGGTCTGCAATTACTGGTGATTAGGCTCCAATAACGGCATTCATGGGGAGTCACTTAAGGTGGTGGCGGACCCCATGCCTCACTATGTAGGTGGTGTTCAGGCGAGGGTTAGACTCCGGACAGTGAAGCTGAAAAGTTCGGCGAGGTAGCCCTTTACTTTCGAGCACAGTTGATCAATTCCATTGCCGATCGCCAACACAGGCCACAATAAGGGAAACTCCTTGCGATAGTGGGAAACTATCCTGCGGGACTCTTGCTTAATTCTTCTTGGTTTGAGTGTTAGATCTCGGAGAGTTATATGACGACTGCCGACCACCCAGATAATGCTCTGGCCACCGTTTGAGTCCTAGGAGAGGAGGTCTCAATGTCTTCTAGTAGCGTGGAACTACAAACGGTGTGAAATGCAGGGACGCTTTCGATTAAGGCCAAGAGTTTTTTGAGTGTTTATAGCGTTAAATGCGGCGGTGGTGCTGTACTTTCTACGGAAGCCATGCTTATGCTTCCCTGAGGTCAGGTGATACCTGAAGTACGGGAGCAGCAAAGCCTCAAGTGAGTTCGACACCTGGGGAAAGGAGAGGTATCAGACGATAACACTCCCCTTTGTTGGCTGGTTTCATCGGTTTTTACCTTGGACGGTATGGTACTCACGACGGAACCAATTTTTCAGCACCAATATGTATATTTCGTCTGCGCCAATGCATTTGAATGCTTCCGCCTTTCCGATAGCCACCTGAACTTCAGCGCTAGTGAGAGTAAGTGGCCCACTATTTTTCGGCAGTTTGTGCAGCCTCCTGTTCACTCGACGTTTGGCCTTATTCACCAAACGATGCAGTGTGAACTGCCGGTTAAAACAGCTCGACCATAGCTTCGGCTCAGACGAGGCGTGACCATCGAATGAAATTTCCACTCTGGTATCACGTCTCGTCGCGTTGGGCAGGGATCTCGCTGTTGACCAGAGTGGTAGGTGTAAGTCTTTAAGTGCTGCTCCCAATTTTTGTGCTTGTGTCGAATCTCCAAATTTCGGTATCTAATATTGGGATCCCCGGAATCGACCTAACGTAAGTGGTTGAGGCAAATTCCCGCCATACTTCCGGATGGGATGAAGCGAGCCACCGCAGCAGCTGATAACACAGGTCGAAACATTATATGTATTTATCAGACCTGCGCTAGCTGTTGTTAGGTCAGGCGCGCTCCGCAGCTACCCACAATCCTGGCGTGTGCATTAAGTCATGAAGCAGAATGTCGAACCGTCAACCCGCTGTGCCAATACAATTCCATACGATCATATTACAGGCCTGACTGCTAGAGATCGTGGTACGCCTAAAATTTAAAGTGGTAGTTACTTGTCCGCTTACGGGTGGTACGCAGTCCAGAACGGTGTCGGAATTGCACACGGCACACGGAACAAACGGCGAGGAACCAAGAGCTGCTGGATAGCCCTCATACGAGAGTTGGAGCAGGTGGGAGGTGGGCTGTTGCTCACATAAGCACAAGCACAGGTGCCGTAAGGCTTGAGCACCATGGGGCCACACATCTTGTGGTCCACTACCTGTGTGACCTAAGGCCTCAACAGTATGGCTGCATTCCAAAACATCAAAATACAAAACATCCGTCTCTCTTATTTCTAAACCGCACTAGAAGAAAAAGACTAACTTGCGCAACCTAGTTGAAAACTAGCATCTCACTGTGGTTGCGCACGTTTGGCATTTCAATCTACTGAGGTTTAGAAATAAAAGAGACTGATGCTTTGTATTTTGACGTTTTGGAATGCACCCTATCTTACGTGACTCCATCCAAGGCACATTAAACAGGTAGTAGCAGCAGGGCTGCAGTTTTGATTTTTTTCTATTTCGTGAAAAATCTGGGCTCGAATCGTCACATACGATATCATATTACTCGTCACATAAAAACACATTTTTTCACACATGACATACATGAACGTACACTTTATCCCATTCAGCTTATACGACTGACGGTATTACGTAATTTTCTTTCGAATGGTTTTCGATCCGTGAACGGATGTTACGATTTGAGCCCTGAACTGGCAAACTTTGCTACATTCATATACACATTCGCATACACATACATAAATTATCATCCTTTTTGTTTGCTTTTGATTGGTCGAACGTGCTTGCATTTCATTCTGTTTTGACATTTTAGGTTTCTCAAGCAACAACAAAATACATGGCAGGGTTGTGCCCTGACCTACTGCTATTACTTGTTTAATATGCCTTGATGGACAGAGTAATACTCAGCAGAAGTATGATTCACCCGTTGCCGACAAAAAGCCCCAGAGACCCACGTAAATAACGTTCGGATACTGTAGAAGCCTTAGCTTCTACTTATTCAGACTCGACACCAACAAACTCAATAAATGTCCGACTAGTGAAGGTACCCCACACGACACCAACCAATTCGTTCAACGGACCTACGTAGTCGGAAGGATACAGATTTATATCTAAGCAATGCTTCATCCCCAAAACTCGTTGATAAATATCTATCATGTGACAGCAACAACGTCAATCATTACTTCATTTGCCCCTAAAACCACTCAGCTAACTCCCCACTCACTTTGGTCCGACACCATTGATACAGCACCTGCCTAGTTGTCTCCAGTTCATTTTCAGTTTTGAAATAGATTTTTTTGTTTATACAGGCTTACATCTTTAATGTATGCTCATATTCATATAGTATAGTTTAGTTCCTACGACAGCCGGTTCCACGCACCGGAATTACTCAAGGTGTTTCCTTCTTCTACGGGCGGGCATTGAGTCCAACTCCGGACCAGAGATCTACTACTGCTGGGTATGCCATAGAGGAATGCATCCGAACTCCACTACAGTTAGGTTAACCTAACCTGGAGTAACCTAAGAACCTAAGAACATGGCATACGGCGTCACCCGTCTATACGGCCACCATTGCGTAACACAAGCACATATAGCCTACACGGTTAAAATAAGCTTACAGGAGCAACAGTCATACATCACACTGTCCCATCAGGCGATTTCGAGCTCGAAATATTGAATGCGTATACCGCCTCCTGTCGCCTACTGCGCGGAAGGATATCACCCTGACATACATAGGTGCGCTACCCAGAAGTGAAAACCATACAGTAGTAGGTGACTTTCACGCGCACCACGACCTTTAGCACTCAGGTCTGGCAAATGATCGTAGGGGACACCTATTAGCTGAGCAGATAAGGTTATTCAAAATTCTGCATCAATAAATAGCATAACGTGGCGGCTTATGAGTGTGATCAGAAATGCACCAAGGCAAAGCAGCAGCCCTTTTTTATTTCTTAACTATAATAGATGGAAATGCCTTATTACGCAACTAAGTTCAGAGCTGTTAAAGAATGCAATCATTTTTAACTAAATTATTCATTTGATTGAAGTCCCGAGTGATTGCAATCATTTTTTGTTAGTCCTGACTAAGAATAAAAAAAATTAGTCTTTATTTTTTTTTTTTTTTTTTTATGATTCATAAATCACTCTTTTATTCATTTCTTGTTAGTCACTTGATTTCAGCCATTGGAATGCATTCTTTTGCAGTACTTTGAATTTTTTCAGGGACCGAAAACACGTTCCAGTTTTGGTTTATTTCTTCATGAAAACAAAAGGTACTGTCAGTGAAAACCCTATATATATATATATGGTAGACAAATCTACAGAAATTACTATGCTTAACCGGACCCGATTATTAAAAAAGCGTACCTTAAATACTACACACCTTGCCATCTTCGACCGCATTAGAAAGACTTTTTTCGTTTGCTTCATTACTGAATACCCCACGCCGTGGAACGCTTTCTGACAACACTTTCGAAAAATTGCTGTTGCTGAAAGTTAACGGAGACGTATAATTAAGTTTCAAGGATCATTATTAATTTTTTTGGAAACATGTTGGCATGCACTTTGTTATTTTTTTTTCATTTACATAATATGTACAGATTAAGTACATATAATAAATACAAATTTATTTCATTGGAAGTTACTGGAATTCATTTACATTTTCCCAATATTTTATATACTACTGGAGTTTTAATTAAGCTTTTTGTGTACTCATAATTCTATGAAAAGTGTACGCAAAGATTGCTTTAGATTTTCATTATTCACCTCAGACTGCAAAAATGAATAATTAGTCATGAATAACAGAGAAGACGAATGAATGACTTCAATTTTGCAGTCTTTAGTCAGACATGTGATTGATTGGCTGCAGTTAAAGTGTTAGTCAGTGAATGTGAGTGAAACGATTTAAAGTCACGAAGACTGCATTCTTTAACACCTCTGACTAAGTTCCAATTCGGCATTTAACTGTGGTTGCGTATATTGGACATTTCCATCAATTATAGTTTCTGAACGCGCCCTATGCTAACACTCCCATCAGACCACCTATCCATAGAGATTCATTCGCTCGCAACTCATAATGTCACCAAAAAATATTTTTCTCCGAAATTTGAATTAAACAGATTTTTTTAATCGTTCTAAATCGAATGAAATCGTGTCAATCATTACCGGAATCAATTTTTTTTTTTTGTTATCCGTGTTAAAACAAAACCGTGCAAACAGAATTAGGTATACCTATCCTAGAATTTCCAGTCTCGAACTTCAGATCAATAAAAAAAAACACATCATTTAACGATTTAATAACGTTTTCTTTATTTATGTTTATCTTTGAGTCACCTTAGTTTTTATCGCGACTTCTTGATGAACTCTTCTTCAATCTTCATAACATGTTCTTATACAGTAAATTTACACTTGAGCTACAATGCCCAACTTTCTTCTGCCTTTTGTTTCAATGCATAAAATAGGGTTGAAGAATTATACGTAAGATACAATAATCACAAGGCTTGTTACTCTGCATCTCTTGACATGTAATTGGCGTCAGTTGCAGTTAGAACGATGATTAAATCGTTTTATTAGATTCAGCATGTTAAAACTCCATTGTTTTTATTGTATGTTTACTCCATTTGTATTTTTCAGTATTATAACGTTCAATTAAATCACTTTAAGAGTACATGTAAATCTATTAATTTATAATTAAAACTAAGCTGGATGAAATCATACAATAATTAACACTAGGGGTAATAGGTTTCAATCTGGTAAAAACGTGCCGGTTAGCCATAACATAAGTGCAAAATAAATATTACGTTATTTGAGAATAACTGAACGAAGACTTATAAACATATAGCATACTACTTACATCTACTTAAAAGGCCTAGAGTGTTACTTATGGACACCTAACACTATTATGCTTTGTAAAATGTTGTTTTAAATGTATTTAAGTATAAATTGGTATAATAAACACAGGAGGCATTTTGATGCATTCTCAATCAGAATGGAACCCCATAAACTCGAGTATAATAATGTGGTAAAAGGCAGTCAGCATATTAGGTTATTTAAGCGAATTTCAAACAAAATATGGTCATACAAATCAAAGGTTAAAGGCTCAGGAAAAGTTGCTCTCAGTATAATAGAGTTTAATTCAACGTTACAGGCTTAGACATTAGGTATGTAAATTCTGTAAAATTTCTTTCACAAACTTACATCAAAATGCCTTTACGCAATTTATACAAAAAAAAACATTAGATTTTTTCCTCACCTCTCTCTATGCTTGGTAAAAAAATATACGTAGGTATATATATTTTAACATATGGTATTTTTGCATCAATAAGAGGCATAAAAATATACTATATATTGAAATAATATTTAATATGCATATTATATATACAAGTTATTATAGTAAACCTTTTGTCCGGCAGAATTAATACGAGCCTTCTATTGCTTGCTATTGTAATACATACTATTTATATGTATTCTCACCTCATTATAGTCGAATTTTTAATTTGCTTCTATATATACAAGAGGTTTATTCTCGACACAAATGACTATTGCGTACAAGACAAAGTATCGCAAAATGCTACAATGACCCCTAATCTTCCCAAATCTAACTGTTGATCTCTTTTATATCCTATTGCGAATGATAACTTACCTAGTGAAATACATTTACTATTTCTAAATTGATAGAGCGATTTTTGTTCTGTTAAATATTTAAAAATGATTTAGATGATAGTTGCAGCTTCTGTGCTATTCGTTTTAACAAACACCTTCCACTCGCTTGAATCAGTCTCGTAGTTCAACCCATTTCGCTAGATTCCTAGCCACAAGCTCTTTGTTAATGAAGATGACATTCTGCAAAGAAATTAAAAAACAATATTTGAATAAAACGTTCATTCCTTAATTAGCACATCTATTATTTTAATAGCTATGAGTTACCAAAGAGATTTTGTAAGAATCTAATAAAGCAAGTGTATTATGGTGATTTCGTTTCTTCCAAAAAATGTTGCCCTTCCCCGGTGCAAACTGTGTTTGAGGTTACACTCAACCCTGTAAAAGGGCATGTTTCTTGCCTTCTTGTCCGTGTTTAGATCACGCATTTCATTTTTTTAAACAACCATCTGATTTTCAGAGCAACCATCTCCCCTGACAAATCTTCAAAGGGCACAGAATGTGCCTTGTTTACCTTATAAAAGTGCGTCATTTTAAGAAAGAACACAAAATTTTCTCACCATTTGCCTCTAATTTAGAACCGAACACGAAAAGAGAAAGGGGCAATCAAAAGGCGACATTTTTTGGTAGAAACGAAATCACCATGAGTTGCAATAAACTATCATTAAATAGTACTAATCAAGGAATGATACCAAAACCGTAACCGTTTAAACCTGTTATTTTGACCTGAAAAAGAGCGAAACCGAAATCGTTTAAGGTACAGGAACCGGCTCCAATCGATTTCGAGAAAACTATAAAAATTACCTGCAATATCAAGTTGTGACTTGAAATGACATCAAGTCGAGGGTCAAGTTGTAAAAAGCCTATTTTTCGACATATAGTTTGTTTACAGTGGTGGAAAAATAAATATGGACACGAGATTTAAACATCTTTTTCCTGTTTTTCTTCTGTTTATTTAATATTTATTATTTTTTTATAAAAGTTTAGCTCTTAATCTAACCAAAACCATATAAATTCATATTTCAAACTTTGTGCAAAATTTATAGAACTTCTGCAAAATTGCATTAAAAAATTAATCAGATTTTTGAGTATGCAGTTGTATAGCCCATTAAATTTTAGTAGAATAAAGAGCAAGTTTGAAGTTCCTAAAAAATCGCGTTGCCTTTTGATAATTTTTATTCTGAATGTATTACGCACCTTTTCCATACAAAAAAATTGTCGAACATACATAAAATCGCCTAAAATCAACGCAATTTTTTAGCAGCTTAAAACTTCCACTTCATTGCCAAACGTAGGGGTTGTCTTTATTTCTTGTTTTCATATTTTATTAAACATACATTTTTTTTACCACAATGTTTAATGCGGCAAAATAAATTTTACAAACCTTGAAAGCCATTTATTAAATAAATAATGTTTTTTGTCAAACTTGTTTTCATATATATTTTTTTTTCAAAGCCGAAACCGAAACACTTTTCAAAACCGAAACAGAAACTGGAACATTATTTTGATTCAGTTTCATTCCTTGGTACTAATAATTACAAAGCGTAATCATTGCCAGACTACCCTACCTACAAGTCAGGTAAAAATGATGAGAAAATAGAAATTAACAGTTTGTGGAATAATAAATATATACTAGCATGCAAAGCTTTTATCAGATAACTAGACATCGAAATTCTACGAAGTTTTGATATGCAAAAAATATGCAATCAATACTTATGTTAAGCTTTGTATTAAATCAAAGCAAGTTCCAGAATAATTTTATATACAAATCCAGTTTAAACCCTGTTGTTTATCTAATAGATCCATACATTTTTGGGTATGTTGTCTACTACATCTAAATCTTTAAATGTATGTATGTATTAGTGTTGCCAGATTTTTTTTTCAGCCATACGGGACAAATGCATAATTTGTCCCAAAAAATACGGGATTTACAAAAATTTAACGGGACAAATGAGAAATAAAGGATTTGCTTTAAAAGCCCGCTACGAACCATATATTAACAAAGGTGATCCATTTCAACGAAGTAATGCTCAGATTAGTTATAATCTTATGATAAATTTCGTTTATTTCATGGCAACACTTTTTAATTTATACAAAACCATGTATGCACGTAAACATATAATTGACAAACCCATAAAATCAAAGTAAGGGATACAGTTCCGGTCAAAATAATAGCAGCAAGATGCAAAATGATGCTGTTGGCAACTTATCTTTATTTATTTATTGTTAATAATTTTCATTTAAAATATGGGTCGTTCTATATCACATACCCAGGGTCGTAACGGTTATGCACTTTTCAAACAAGTCAAAAAATAATCGTTATTTTTTCACCGATATGTTTTCAGTCAATAATAAAAGTTACAAATTGACTTTTATTTTTTCTATTTGCGATACAATTTGCCGGAGCAGAGCTTGGCAGCTATACTATTTATTAAATTAAATTCCGAATCATTCCCGTAAAGCCTAAATTAAAGAAACTCAGTATATGTATTTACAGAAGATAAGGAAACTGCAATTGAAAGGATGTGCATTTTTTATTAAAGCATATTGTATTGTGAATATGTAAACTGCTATTTTGACCGAAAAAATAAAAGTCAGATTAACTTTTATAATTGACCGAAAAAATAAAAGTCAAAGTTTAGCTTTTATATTTGACTGAAAAAACAAGTCAAGTTTTAACTTTTACTTTTGACTGAAAAAATAACGGTTAATTGGTGACCTTTTTGAAAAAAGTAAAAAAAAAATTAATCATATAGGATTAACATTCCTTGGCTAACAATGCTTGTTATACACAAATGTTAAAAAGACCTATTCTTTCCAACTGACTTATTGAAAATAACTATTATTTTCGATCCCTGCACATACCACATAAATAAAAGTTTCAAATCATGCAACAAGATCACAAAAATTAAACTTGAAAAAATTTCATAAAAATTTTGATATTTTAACTTAGATTTCCTTGAAAGATTTCGAGTATGCGGGTTTATATCCTATACAGTTTCAGAACAATAAAGTGCAAGTTTCAAGTCGCTAAAAATTACAATTTATTTTTTAGATTTTTTTTGAGGGTGTTGCGCATTTTCTTCGATATAAAATTCAGTTTTGTATATGGAAGAAAATTCGCAACACCCTCCACAAAAAAAAATTGTAAAAAATCAACGGTAATCTTTAGCTATATTTCTCTTACAGAGTTGCATGCAATACTGCTTGCTAATGACCTACTCCCAATAGCCGCGTTAAACCATGACCATGTTGAGTAGAAGTTTACAGGTTGAAAAGAATAATAAAATTGTCGAAAATACGGGGAAATCTTACCGCGGCGGAACATTTCAAATTTAATGCAAAATACGGGACGTCCCGGCAAATACTGGTCATTTGGCAACGTTTGTATGTAACGGCATTCACAGGTCAGGAGTCAGTGTAGGTCAATACTAATTCCCTATAAATGCGGCTTAGGGTCTGGAGGTATGCTGTTGGGTCCAGAAGTTGCTTTATGAACCGCTGAACTTCGTCCGTCAGTTCATATTGATGCCTTCTGACGTACCTTTGCGCAAGCAAGTGTCTGTTCGGGTGCCCACGTCGTTAGCACCCTACTAGGAATTGCTTGCAGAGCATTATGTTGTGCTCCCTAACGGGAAGTATTTGAGCCTCGTCCTACAGATGATGTTGTTGCGACATCAGAATAAATCCGGTTGCTGTCCGTAGTTCTGCGTTTTGGCAAGTCTGTAGCTTCGTCCACTGCGTCCTACTAGTACCCGGCGACCACAAAGGCGCTGCATACTTTAGAACCGGACCAGGCAATTGCCTTGTAGAGAGATTTCGAGTTTCTGCCACTACAGGGAGTAGTGGAGTATTGTGGCAGACATAAACTGCAACTCATCGTGGGATGTGACGCTAATGCACACAATGCCATATGGGGCAGCAGTAACATAAATCAAAGAGGTGAGTACTTACTTGAATTTATTAGCCTTAATAGGTTAGAAATTTTAAACGTAGGTAACTCCCCCACTTTTAGGAACAGTATACGGGAAGAGGTTCTAGATCTCACTCTATTCACTCCTTTTATCAGTAATTTCGTTAGAAAATGGAAAAAGCCCAGAGAAATTTCTTTATCAGATCACATGCACATCCGTTTTGAAATAGAAACCACATTAACAACTGCAACCACCTACAGAAGACCAAGAACCACAGACTGGAATCTATAAGATGCACTTCTGCAGGACGGCCTGAAAGGGTGCAAGCGAAAGGTAAATAACTTAGTCGATCTTGAACTTAGCTGCTCAGATCTGACATCAGCCATTGTGAATTCCTACCATGAATCCACAAGTCACTAGGCTTAACAGACAGACTCCATGGTGGAATAAAAAAATGACCAAACTTAGGGCAAAGACCCGGAAGCTCTTTAACAGAGCTAAATTAACCGGTGAATGGGAAACCTATAAAATTGCCCTCATCGAGTACAATAAAGGGATTAGATGTGCAAAGAGGAACTTATGGACTATTTTCTGTACAGGGATCAAGGACCTTACGGGAAGCGCAAGAATCCACAGAGTCCTCGCAAAGACGCACACTAATGAGTTAGGGCTCCTGAAAAGACCCGACAGATCCTTCACGAACAGCTGCATGGAATCCCTTAACTTGCTAGCCGAGGTGCATTTTCCTGACTGTTTGCCACTGAGCACAACCAGAACAATCCACACGAGGGCTGGGATAAAACGCCCCTGCGCAGAGGATTGGAGAATAGCCAAAGGCCTGTTCGACGAGGATAGAATAAGATGGGCTATATCTGCCTCAGCGCCCTTCACCTTAAGCAGATGGCATTTTCCCAGGTCATCTTCAAAAGGGACTTCCCCGCTTACTACCCTCCTAATACCACTTTTCAGAGCATGTTTCGCGTGGGGGTCCCCCACCTTTGGAATGTAGCGGACCGTCACTTCCTGCCATTGTAGTGGCGCAGACCAACCAAAGTCATACCGACCCATTAGTCTTACGTCCTTCCTACTAAGAACAATGGAAAGAATCGTATACAGCCATATCAAGGATAGTTTCCTTACCAGGAACACTTTGCACAGACACCAATATGCCTATCTTCCAGGAAGATCTACTATCCACGCTCTTCAGAATCTAACAAGGAAAATTGAAAAGTCCCTGGAGGACAAAGAGGTGGCGGTGGGTTGTTTCTT